GCGAATCCATAGAGCGTTTTTTTGTGTTCTTTCTCCTAATGGCGTTCTTTTTCATTTTGTACAATAACCTTCTCGGTGGTTATAACGTATTCACGAAACATTGCAATATTTTACTATTATATATCGACTACAACAATATTCGTTAGATTCGGTTAAATTATTCTCGAAGTCGGTGAGAAATTTCGGATTTTGGATTCCTGTATTAAACATATACAGTATATACGAAATACAAAGTTACATATAATATCATGATACGTATGTACACAAACACAACGTAGGTGGCGTATTATACTGTAAGTAAGAAAAATTATGCCAATCACAAATACGTTCCTATGTCAGATTTTTTTAAAAAATTCTTTTTGTTTTTTTTCTTTAATCGTTTTCTCGAATTTTGATATTAAAAGACGATCGTAATGAGGTGTTAAACTAAAAACTATAAAAAAAAATAAGATAAATAAATAAATAAAAATTATATCAGTTTTACAATATAAGTGAAAAATTATACTAGTTTATTACGCTAATGTCACGTGATTGAATGAAATTGTCGATCATAGTTTGGAGCTACGTCGCACTATTTGTTTATTGTAAAGTTGATCCTGATCATTAATTGATATGACCTATGGCAACTTTATCCGCGCAATATCACAGTATTATCAACGTTTTTGAATTGTCAATCCATCTATCGAAAGTTTGGAAAATGTTGAGTTCGGTTAAATATTTCACACAATAAAACCCACTATTGCATCAAACAAGCGCCTTTAAATATTTGCCCATAATTTCATCCGTGGTACTTTAGATTATCATCCGATTTAATACATGTATTTTATATTTTATAAAGTGTCTAACCGTATTACAATTGGGTAATTATTTTTGAAGGCGACAAAAATGCTAGATATGATTTTTTCGGACCCAACTTTTAAACAATACATATATAATATAAATTTTAGGATCACACCAGAAAATTTCCGGTCCGCCTTCGAAAATAATTACCCAATTACTAATAAATTAATGGGCTTTCATCTTAGATACAATCCGTTACTAACAAAAAAGAGAATTATTGGGCAAAATCTTTAGAAAGATCCCCAGTAATGTTTTCATCTAGTTATATTATCTTCCCCAAAGTTGAACTTGTAGAATGATCCGATTCAGAAAAAAATTAAATAAAATAAGCTATCTATACCATTAAATATTTGTTCCCATGAAATGCGTTTCAAATTAAGGACTTTAAAAACTGTTGATTTTCTTCGCAAAAAAGTTTAATACATAAACACATGACCTGTCGTTAGAAGGAAATGTGACAAGTATTAAATGCATACTGAACGGAGTGATTGGTGAGTTTGTCGCTAATGATGGTGGAAATTTGCGTAACCGTTAGAGTAGGATACAATAGATGAGGTGTATTCTGATTTTTTGGGTCTCCTTATCTTTATTAATATTAAATTTATCATCTTTTATATATTCTTAACTATTCAATTACCATTAACTATATTTAGAGTGTAAAATACACATGCTTCACATGACTTATAACAATGCAAAGTATATACAGTATGTGCAATTATTATGATTGTCGTAATTGTCACAATTGTCACAATTATCGCGTACAGTATATTAACATTATTCTCGCTCAAAATCAATTTGACAAATCAAATGTAAAAATATATTTATTAGTCACTATGAGATATAGCCTTCTATCTGGTTTAGCGAAAGTATATCGATATCCTAACCTATACATACAGGGTATGCCGCCTACATGCTCTACTTCTTATCTATATTTACCTATCAAATGTACAGTATTTCCTTCAACTATGATGTGTTGTGTTCGTAACTATCTTTTAATTTACTCTAATAGTACGGGTTCTGTAGACCATTCTCAAACTTAAAAGGTGTGGATTTTCACCGCTATCTTCCACACAAATTTAATGGTGTGGGGTTTACACAGCTTGTTTCCAATAACCCTCATTCAAACGGTGTGGGGTTTACACAGCTCGTTTCTAACGACTATCTAATTATCTGAATTAAAATGGTATAGAGTTTGCACAGCTCATTTTTCAACAGTATTACAGAGCAACCTATCGTGTTGATAATCTAGCTCCCATGACTTTGTCTCAGTCGCTAATAATTAATAATTAGAATGTTTTAATTATTTTTTTAATGATGAAGAAAGCAAAAATTACAATTCAAGAATGTATAAACTTCAAAGATTATAAAGAAGATTTTTATAAATCTAATAACAAAAGGTGCTATATTGCTTGCAAGTATATTATTAGCTACATATATATATATATAATAAATAATCATCTTAATTCTTCATTGTATACAAAAAAAAATATTTATATTAAATTAATCAAATATATCAAAAAAACAAGATATTAACTTGTCATTGATTAAAACATTTATAAAACAAATATTTCACTTGAAATAAATAAATTATATATAAAATAAATAAATTATTTATATCTTAATAATATAAGTTATTTTATTAACATTATTTAATTTATAAGTGAAGGAGTTATTGATATTATTATTGTCTTGGAAGAGTAAAAAAAAGTTTAGACTTATAGTAAACAAGATATTTTTTTACTCAACTTTGGACTCTGTCTAGTGTACTTTTATTTAATTCACATATATAGTGGCAGTCAAAAGTATTGCATCACAGATCAATTTTTTATATTAAAACATAATAAAAATTGAAATTTGTATGCTATAATAAAGTCTAATTTTTTTATTAAGAAATAATTTTTTTATTTTTCGCCCCTTAAATTCACCAGTTGTAGTTTATTATAGTTTTTCTTCAGATTTTTTGGATCCTTCTTTAAAAAACTACACTGATTGAGAAAAAAAAACAAAAATTTTTTATGTGTAACACTTATAAAATTTTTTTGTTTTTTTTCTCAATCAGTATAGTTTTTTAAAGAAGGATCCAAAAAATCTGAAGAAAAACTATAATAAACTACAACTGGTGAATTTAAGGGGCAAAAAATAAAAAAAATTATTTCTTAGTAAAAAATTAGACTTTATAGCATACAAATTTCAATTTTTACTATGTTTTAATATAAAAAATTGATCTGTGATGCAATACTTTTGACTGCCATTATATATCCATCATGTATTATAAAAAGTTATTACCTATAAACTATTTTAGATCAATACTGAACTATATTAGATTTTACTTTTATATCAGCTTGTTTACTTGGGCTATGCTCCAGAATTAAAAATGTTAGTGTATTTATATAGTAAAATATATAAAAAATAAACTATAATGTTGTATTGATAGAAAGTAAGTTTTTTTTATATAAATAAATATAATAATTTATAAAATAATAGTATTGTTTGTATTAAATTAATTAAAAATTTTAATATTAAAAAAATTTATTTATTTAATTCAATAAAAATCAAATTTGAAATTTGAAATTAATATTTTAATTAAAAAAACAAAACTCTTTAAAAATTTAAAACCTAAAAAAATATTTAAATTATTTTATAAAATAAAAAATAGATATACAGTATGGTGCAAAAAAAATAACAATTATATTTTTAGTTATAACTTAATAAATAATTATTAAAAATTTATAAAAATTTGTAAATATATAGTTAAATACTTTATAAATAACTTTATTTAATACTGTTTTAATCAATATATGAATATTTTTTAAAATAAGTTAATTTTTATAATAAAAAAATTTATAACAAAAATTTTTTACTCTTTTTTATATATATAAAAGGTGGTTAGAAATAGGTAAAAAAAAATTGATTTTTTAATACTAAAAAATTTTATAAAAATATAAAAATATTATATAAATATTTCTGAACATTTTTAATATTTTTATATAATATTTTTTTAATAAATTCATTAATTAAATTAAAAGTTATAATTTTTTTTTAAAAAAATTTTGTAATCTTATTTTTGAATTAATTTTTTTAATAATATCTTTAAATTAAAAACAAATTATATTAAAAAATTCTTATTACTATTTAAAATTATTTAATTGGTTTTTTTTATTATATCTTTAAAAATAAATTAATAAAATATTAAATTATAAAACAAATTATTTATGAAATTATTAATTAAAATATAATTATAAAAAATTTTCATTTTTTTTGCACCATACTGTATATACAATATATAAACATTTTAACTCAAACTACTTCTCCGTATAGAAATCAAGGTTTAGAAGAATAACTTTAATTTCCCTATTTCTATGTTTCGTATATTTAAAGAATGTCTCTCAGAGAAGTATTTCTTGCGCTCCGGCTGCGCAATATTTTACATTGAAATAAACAAAATAATGTGAGAAGAGAAGAGGAAGAACTATATGAGGGTCAGTCTAAAACGAGTTAAAACTCAATATTTGTTATTTGTTACTTGTGTTTGTTAGGTGATTCATGTGTACATATTTGTATCATGGTAAATCAACCGATCGTGCTTTTTTAGAAATAATAATTATTTTGTTTGTTGTGCAACCCAATTACAGTATTCCGTTTCTGAGCTACCCAGATGAAGTATAGCTTACTTCTATCAAGTCATTTTTTGGCCAGTATCTATGTCAAACGCATATACATAAAAATATTAACAGGTAAAAATTCTGCATACTCTGACGATTTGAGAGACCAAATTTTGAGATTCGACACGCCAAATTGTTGTCACTTTACTGTTTTGGATTTTTAGACCTTTCACTTATCATTGATCCATGAGCAAATTAGAAATTCAAAAAGGGAAAATGAATATATTGATGCTCTGTAAATCTCTTTTTGGATTAGATCACGATTGATTTTGTATACGTAATTTATAGTTCCTGGCATTGTGATATATGCTTCGCCAAGTTAATTTGGATTAAAAGGTTTTGTAGAAAAGAACAAAATCTTTAAATTCCGAGCCTCATTTTCAAAAATTATAAATACTCAATCGCATGCCTTGCTGATATCTTTACTGGGTACCCAGCTTCCCTTTTTCCCTTGCCTCTTCAAGCCTCTAGAATACAGTATTCACGTATATGTACAAAATGAAAAAACCTATGAACGCTTTTTTTGTTTTCAGCAAATCGTATCGGAAAGAAAACCCGGGTAAAGCTACTCCTGAAGAAATAGGTCTTAAGTGGGGATCAATGAGTGCAAGGGACCGTGAACGCTACGTCGAGGATTCAAATCGTATGAAAAATCAATTTATACTCGAGAATCCTGATTTTAAAGAAAAGCGTACTCGTTCAGTTAGGAGAAAGAATAGAAAATTTATGAATAATTCTCCGGAAAAAATGCGAGAGGAACTACTTTTTAAAGAATACACGAATAAACCTCCGAAGAAAATGCAAGAAAAATAATTTCTCGAGAAATACACGAAGACATATTGTATTCTTTCTCCTAATGGCGTTCTTTTTCATTTTGTACAATAACCTTTTCGGTGGTTATAACGTATTCACGAAATATCGCAATATTTTACTATTCTATATCGATTACAACAATATTCGTTAAATTATCTCGAAGGTGGTGAGAAATTTCGGATTTCGGATTCTTTTATTAAACATATACAGTATATACGAAATACAAAGTTACGTATGATATCATGATACGCATGTACACAAACACATCGTAGGTGCCGTATTATAAATAAGTAAGAAAAATTATGCCAATCACAGATACATTCCTATGTCAGATTTTTTTAAAAAATTCTTTTTATTTTTTTTTCTTTAACCGTTTTCTCGAATTTTGATATTAAAAGACGATAGTAAGGATGCGTTGAAACTAAAAACTAAAATAAAAATAAGATAAATAAATAAAATAAAAATAAGATAGATAGAATAAAATAAAATTATCAGTTTTACAATATAACTCTGGAGAAAGATTAAAAAAAAAACTAGTTAATTACGATAATGTCACGTGATTCCGTACATAATTTGATGACCTATGGTAACTTTATCCGCACAATATAACAGGATTATCAACGTTTTTTTTTCTCTTATAAAAATTTACCAAATTCAAATTGAATTGTCAATCCATCT